ATTGATTGTAAATAGTAATAATCTATATACATATAATGCATAATAATTGAAAGGTGACTGTATTTTACAAAATACAAGTTCACTAATACATAGCCAAGACAGATCACTTTGTAAAGACTAAACATCAGTTTTATATTACTGGATACAGTAACATGAGTGCACATGCACCACGTCATTGTAACTTCTGTATTGTTAGCCAGGCATGACTGAAAGGTCAATATAATAATAATAATAAAAACAATATATATATATATATATACATATATATAAACGAATAATGTTATGAGATTTAAGCTATTTAAACTAAACGTTTGTGTTTTCATGTTATAATTCTAGAATGAAAAAAGCATAATTTATATTTATTTCCTAATTTTTTATGGTGTTTACAAGGTCTGTCAAATTGACAGACCCCGTATAGTTAGGGTAAATACTTCATTAAAAAACCTGAATTTCTGTGTACAAAAGACTTGGAATCATTAGTAAAAGTCTACCAAATCTTGTGAAGATACACATACAGTATTAAAAGTTATAGTGTATATACTTAACGTGTGCAAATGTGTATACGAACTTGTGTATTTCATACCGGGCTCATTGCAAAAGGGTTAGCATGTTTTGTAATGCTACATTTTTAAATACATTTAGAATATTTTTTCTTTTGGTAAAATTCTTAGATTACTTAATAATCAGAAACAGCTCTCTTTAAGATTTTATTTTCTACATGTCAGATATTCTTTTAATACTTCCCACAATGATTCTCTAAAAAAAAAGAAGTTTTATGTTTTATTTAGAAGTACAAAAACACTATCTTCTAGCACATACATTTGTATTCCCTGGAGTGTGAGAATGAATCAGTTATTGAAAATAACAAATTTTCTTAATTACAAATATAGTTAACTACCAATGCAAGAAAAGCTAACTTGCTGAGAATTTATCAAATCATGGTTGGAACGAGAGTAAAAACCTAATTAATACTCACTGGTTTCAATACATTATCCAAACTGATTCCAACATATGCAAGTCGTTGTTTTCTGTCAGAAATACAAACAGAAAATTCTCTGAAAATAAAAAACTAGTAGAATAAAACGTTATAAGGTACACCCATAAATTTAAAACTTTAATTGCTGAAAATCATTAAGATTTTTTTTGTAATATTACTTGCTTTCCCAACTACAAAATTTCCCAATTCATATTTTGTATGTTTGCTAAAAACATATAAATAACATGTAACACATGAAAATATTAACAACTGGTAATGTTCTCTGTACTAGTTAATAACTGTAGTTACAAGACTACAAACAATTATATACACCTGGAAAAAAGTTAAGCACCCCCGTGTTTTTTTCAAGTGATTC